TAAACATACCTCTCTCTATAAAAGGAATCAGTAGACACGCACCTTTGCGCCAGTTGTGTCTTGGTTGGCGTGTGTGGGTTGCTGTCCTTGGCTGTGCGTTTGTGTGGAGTGTGGGTGGGTGGTGGGGTTCGCAATTCTTGGGGCGCGGAGAGACTATTCCCGAGCGCGACGGTGAACCGCGAGCGCCACGTTTCTACGTACAATTGTCAGAAAAAAAATCTCCTATCGTTCGCCACAACAAGAAGATTCTCTGCAAATAGTCTCTTCCGAATTTTTTGTTCATAAATTCGAAATGCGGGGCAGACTCCGAACCACGTAAATTCGAAATGCGGGGCAGACTCCGAACCACGTGCTGCGATGATTGCTATTGACTTGCGGACCTCTCGGGGCCAGTTTGTTTGAGCGTACCTTTTTAGGGTAAGTTAGCCTGTGACCACGGGAATCGACCGCGTCAAGTGTTGGATCAGTACGGACATATGAAGGTACTGGGTAGAGAGAGATCGGAACGGTTTTTAATGTGAAAACAACAACAACAAATTACAACAACAACAACAACAACAACAACAACAACATGGTTTGTGATGAGACAACAACCCCGAGCACAACGGCCAGGTAGTACGTGATATGTATAGGCCTTGGTTGTGGAGTGTGTGGAGGTCACGGAAGGAGTAGGCCATGCATTTGTGGTCTTGAAAGATAACTCGAAACAGACTACTGTACGTGCTGCTTGCTGTAGTCTAATGCTGTCGCCAGCAAGTTGTAGTGTATCCCGAAAGCTCTCTAATAACGCGAAATCCTGAAATCCTGCATCGCGTACAGGCAGCAAGTGTTTGCGCGTGAAGTTTGGGTGGCAATGAGCACCTACTACCCGTAAAAAAAACGCCCCATATCCTCAATCTCACTGAATCATTGGGATGCATCCGGGTCAAATCATGTACTCCGGCAGACTTTTAAAAGTACTCGTGAGGCCACTTGTTAAGCTGTCCTTTTTTGGGCTGTCCCTTTTCTAAAAAAGGGACAACTGACCAAGAACCACTTGTTACGTGGTCTTTCTTTGCATTTTTGAACCTCCGAAAAAGGGACAGCGAAAAAAGATTGCCCCATCCTGTCCCTTTTTGGGCAACTTTGTGACAGGATGGGACGGTCCTTTTTTGTTGTCCTTTTTCTGTCACAACACATGACACTTGCCCACAAACTTGAATATCTCGACGGATGATCGCCGCAAACTCTAACGGTATTCGCACGAGTCGTGTCATGTGACTGGTACGGAGTCAGTAGCCTCGGCGATAGACGTAATGTTGTCATTCGGCTGACCAGGTGGACAACCCGATGTGTGCGGCAAACAAGCGGCAAACGAGCCGAAAGAGCCTGGACGCAGCAGCGGTGGGTCTTTTTGGTGCACAGTCAACTTTTGCGAACCCAACTTCTGGGCGACCTATAGCGTCCTGGTCTGTATCAATCACCGCACAAGACGAATCAGACGCACAGCTCATGGCGGATACCTTTGTCATCGCTGTTGCTTCGGTGTGTGACGAGGGAGCATCGATGAACCAAAGTTGCAACACGGGGAAAAAGAACAAAAAATATGCTTGGAGACGCGGCGGGTCATTTTTCCCGCTTGTCCACCACTCTCGCGCTCACAACCTCTGACCGCCCGTCAGCCTCCTGGTCTGTATCAACGACCACACAAGACGGACCATACACATAGCTCGTGGCGGATACCTTTGTCATCGCTGTTGTTTCAGTGTGTGGCGAGGGAGCATCCATGAACCAAAGCTGCGGCATGGGCAAAAAAGAGCAAAAAAAGCTGGTTGTTGGCGCGGTGGGGTTTTTCAAGGTGCTGTTGACTCTCGCCACCTCAGTTGCCGTGCCTCCCAGTGCCCTGTGGTCTCGATCAGCCGCCACACAAGGCGGACCAAGCACCCAGCTCGCGGGGGATAGCTTTACAGTTGCTGATGCTTCGCTCTGTGCGGAGATATCACCGAAAAACCAACTCGGTGCCAAGGTGCTCATTGTGTGACGAACGGCCGTTGCACTTGTTGTTGCAGGGTCATTTTTTTTTGCAGATGAGCAAAAAGGATCGACCAGCACCGTAACAAGTGGGTCATCTTTTTGCTAGATTATTTTTTGGTTCGTCCCTTTTTGAGAAAAGGGACAGCCTAAAAAAGGACAGCTTAACAAGTGGCCTGATCTAGAAGAATACGCTACGAGAAGAAGATGGCATGGATCGGAGAGTTACGGGATGACTCGGAGTATGATACTGGGAATGGCTCCGACATACCGAGCGTGGTTCCCCAGTACTGCCAACTGTGAAAGTGCTGCAGAGCTGCAGATTTGTGGTGTGTGTGGTACTTGGAGGTTTCATCTTGCGTGGGCTCGAGAAAAGGTCAGCGAGGAGGGAGGAGCTCCACCCACTGCTTCTCTGTCGGTAGATCCCGTAAAAGGTAGTCAATACTGCTGCTGTAGTTGAGTTGCATGTACTGGTACCACCGTCGCAAAACAATTGAAACGCACACAGAAATCGTAGCCAACAACAGCAGCGCGTTAGTTTCGACGGCAATACGGGAATGTCGTTCTGGTGCCGACTCTTGCTGTGACCCAACAAGTCCGAGGCGGACGGCGACGAAATCGAGACATCCACCATCCCCACGACAACGAACCGTCCCTGCCATCGCCTTTCGGAGGCCATCCTGCAGTCGTACAACTTACATGAAAATGGACAAACAAGCCTGACCCTATAACCATGAGTTTCGTATTGCACTCTGTGATCGCGCGTCAGCTCCAACGACGTATGAGAAACAGCCCGAACCCGGGGAAGTAGTGTACTTGTAAACTGATGCTGAAGCAATTGGCTGAGGGAATATGCGTTGCAGGACCAGTCGAGACTAAATCAAGATTGGTTACACAGCAATGGAATTATTATGTCTATGTTTTTGGGTACGAGACAAAATGCCACGGAAATACGAGCGCCCCCAGCACAAGAGGACGGGGAACCCGCACCTCTAACACTCTCTGTCGAAGCTGGGTATTAATAATGTAGGTCTTCACACGGAGAGTCGTACGACGGCTAGCGAAAGAAACGCAGAGACAAGGCGCAGGGTGAAACAATAGAAAGAAGTCGCGGAATACCAGCTGGAGGAGGTGCTTCGGATGGACTTTTGTCGAGAAAAGCCGACAGCTGTAGTCTACATACACGCTGTTTCAGGCCACGCGCGGCTAACAGCCGAGTACGCTAAACATTGCACGTGATCACGCGTGCCTGGAAGACCTTGTGCTACGGCAGTGCTAGTGGGATTTTCCACCAGCCGGATCTAACGTATCTACATACTATAATTGCGGTTGAAACCGGCTTGGTTGCCTTGGTGCGTGTGGGCCGAAACTTTGTTTGCAACGAGTTTCGCCGGCGTGTGGTCCACTTCAGGCGGGCACCAGAAGAGACCCGCTCCCTTGAGTTCGATCGACAAGGCGTTTTTACATCGCCCATGCCTAAAAGGCCTTGCCCAGACACATAGTCTTTGGCCAACCCATAAACGGACCGTTCAACCTCCAAGGGGTGGTGGTTCCTTCACTTCTCAGCGAGCATCTCGAGGCTTCCCGAGTGGTTCAGCCCAGCGCGCCAAGGCTGCAAGCTGATCATCCACCAGCTAATCCTGCATACGCACACGCTCAAACCAAACAAGGCAAAGATTCGTCATCTGTAGACATGTTCTTCCTAGTTTGATCCCGTTCACACCAAACGCGGATATTGTCGCGCCACCACGACAACCGATTCTATTGATACCCTTTGGCCAACAACATGTTGTACAGTAATCGAACCCAGTGATATATTGGCCCTGGAATACAGTAGTGTAGGCAGTCCGGGTTATCGTCTCCCCCCAAATGGAAGTCGGGACGAAGCAAGGTCGGTGTGTAGGCGTCTAGTTCCTTCCATCCATCCGTAGCGTTGATCAGAAAGGCCTCTTCGAGCATGGCATTGTATTCCGGGAACCGGCCCCACTGGTACTGGTGAGGTCCGCTCGCGACCAAATCGAGGGCGGTATCAACATCAACGGGCCCGTCAAACGTCCTGTGGCGGTGGTTAAGCGGCGACGGTGGGGTGAAACGAAACGCGACAAAATCGGTGATATCTTCTGAGAACCTTCATGATGCAGGTGCAGCAGCTTGCCTCCCCGGATACGTCTTGAACGCCGCGCATGGGGTTGTCAAGCGGAATCTTTCTCCAGCACAACCGGTACGGGAGATGGATCGACACTCGTACTACCGCGATGCATGTATGCTTAAAGGTTGTATGCTTAAAGGTTGTATGCATACACTGTAGAGAGAACAACCAGTTCGTTCGACGAATCGTCCCGTTCACCTGTGTCCACACATTCTCACTCGTCTAGGCTCGCGCACTGACCTTTCGGAGCAGCCTCCGTGCCCTGGCGGGGTGTTTCTCACGATGAGAAGTGCATCATCTCCGTGGAGACGTTTCATGGACGCCGTTAACTCTTTGCTTGCGGTCCCCATCGAGTCTCTGTACTCGTCCAAGGATCTAGGGTGTGCCCCGCTGTTGATAATCAGCGTGTCGTACTCCTCGAGGGTGTAGTCGTCCGCAAACACTTCGCACTGCGAGTTCCGTTTAGGGTTTCTTGAGTCACAGAACCCGTCCCAAAACGCACTCCGCCTCGTAGTAGTGTCAAGGAAGTCGTTTCGATAAAATGCAATCTTGACCTCCCCATTGCATGCCCCCCACTTGTGGGCGTGATTGAGGTGGTACTTGGAGTGGACCGGTTCTGACGTCGCACGCAAAACCGAAACCAGCGTTCTCACCATGAGGGTCGTGATGCTGTCGCCTAAAACGAAGGCGGCGTGGCGTTGGAATGAAGGGAAACGCCCATGAGGATTTCGAAAGACGGAACACAATAGATAGTCGTCGCAGATAGTCGTCGACAACGCACGTCATCCGTCAAGCGCGCAGTATCCTGAGGTTCTGGACTGGCCGCCGGCAACCTATCGTAGCACCGGCCTCTATGGTTTAGCTCGGTTCAGGTGCAAAGCGAGCGAGTACAGGGCATGTCTACCAGCTGTTTGGAGGCAGCATCATGACGGACACAAACCCACACGGCAGGTTCGTTGCAGCTAGATGGTTACCACAGGGCTGTTCACACGTGGCACATCAAAACGATCCAACGATACGCTACGTCACGGCCAAGAAAGGTTATCATTGGAACCGGAACACTCAGGCGGTCCAGCGCAAGTTCCACCTTTGGCCAAATGCTGTAGTGGGAGAGGTTCTCTCGTGTGCACGCAGGAGTCTCACACTGGGCGGACGCCGCTTGAAACAATGACATCCAGGCTATCCGGGTGACTTTTGATATCCTCATTTCATCGAACCCACACCAGTTGCGGAGGGTGTTCATAGAAATACAGCAAGAAGTATATCCTGCTCGAACGACATGGTGGTACGTATTGTGCATCCGTTTGGATCCGTTTGGATCAAGAATTGAACCTCTTCCACCTTGTCATCAACCCACGTTGTTTCCTTCCGAGGAATGAGACAGAGATGTTGAGGTAAGCACTGACGAGGTTACGGCAAAGTCAGTTGCACATGAAACCCGCTCACCCACGAGCAGGATGCCTTTCCTCCCCTGCAGAGCGTGGCAAAACTTTTCCTCGTCCACGTTGTCAAGTGAGCACTCCACCGCGTCCCAAGTGTAGTACGGCATAGGCTCCTCGCTGCCGTGGAGCTCCGCCCACTTCTGATAGCAGCTGCGTCACCCCACCGCATTGCGAAACAGCTGGTGTCAGCATGAATACAGTTACTCATTCGTGAAGGATACTCACTTGGAAATTATATCCACCCTCGATTGCTTCCTGGTGCAAGTTTCAAGAGAGCCAAACCCACGCGTGTTCAACCTGAGGGTGACCACCTCGTGACAGAATTCATCGCCGTTGGCACCGCCATTTTCCGTTATTTTCCGAAGCCATATGTGGCTGGTGGCGACGGCATCACCTACTTGGAACGCTGTTCTCTAGCCGACGGACAAGCAACGTCGACAGCAAAGCAGTGTGCAAACACAGCAAAGGCAAAAATGAAAAAAGTTGGCAGCGATATTTGTGACTCGACGTACATTGTCTTGGGGTTGGGGTTCATCATGTCGTCCGGGTTGGTCGGAGACTCGTTCACCCCGTTTTCGCAACGGGGCCATGAACCGTTGGAAGGGTTGGCTGCCGGGGTAGAGTAGCACTGTGGCAGACCCTCCAACTCGATACTTGGCAGGGGTTCCTCGGCTCTACGAATCCGGCGACTCGATACACCTGCTCATCGACACATTCAGGCACCGGCAACAACGTCGCGGCTGTGGGTGTGGCGGGGGGTCTCTGGCGTTGTCGTGTTGAAACACGATTTCGCATAGTAACAAGCACCCAATGGCTCCAATTAAAGTTGGGCAGCGTCGGTGTCTCATTAACACCAAGACAAAAGCAGCAACCGTAATCTTTGTCTATATCGACAACTGCAGGACAACAATAGCGCCAAATGTTTACTGGATTTCAGCCGGTCATGAAGCAATCGCGTGGCGCTCCTGCCTCTTGTTGATTTTGCAGATTTCGGCCATCCCATCCCCACCAAGAGGTGTGACTACAGTATTCCCTTCCTTACTGAAGCGAAATACTGCAAATCATACCCAGACCCAATTTCGTGTATGGCGTCCTTAGTGCTCCATCCCATGAGCTTGCTGTCATCAACTTCACCATGCTGCCGACCTTTCGGCCTCATTCGAAAGTGGGAAAAAGCTCAATTTTCCGACCGACTAACACGACGCGCCTCCCTTCGTGGAGGACGATCGGTGGTACACGCAGGAAGCGCGGCAGCGGTGTGCGTGGTAATTGCGGTGTTTCGAGTTTTGGAATAGAGGGGGCACGTGATTTTTTCACACCGAGGAACCCACTTTGGTATTTAGGATATGTCTAGGGGGGGGGGGGGGGGGAGGAGAGGACTGGCTGTGTTGAGGCTTGACACGTGTGCCATGGCATTAGGCTGTTCCAACTGAATTTGAGCAAGGTTTTGCAGGCACCACGCATCCACATGGCCCACCTTCACCGTTCGCCGACAATAGTCCCATCATGCCCAGGCCGAACACCCGCAGACGGCCGATCACGCGCATATTGCGATCTGTTGCACCCCTGGCGGACGAAATTCCGAGCTGCTGGTCGCGTGTTTCCTGCCGTAGACAAGGGCGAGAACGTGTCTTTCTTTTGTGTGTGGCTCAACCACGACACCAACACGAAAGGAACCTTCACCCAGCATTCGGTTATCGACCAGACCAACTTGATTTCCGAATAGGAAATGGGGGATCGTCTGAGCCTTATCATACATGCGCCGACATACATGTAGTCGGGTTACTTTTAAAAGCAGCGCTGCTCAACTTTCAATGTGTATTCGATCTGTCAAGAGGGCAGCAGTCCTTTTCATTACTCTTCCTTTCTCTCAGCCACATATTATCTCTCACTCCATGCATTGCTATTTGCTGGTGAACTACTTAATAAACGGCCCGCTGCTTGCATAACGCGGCATGGACCGTTGTATTCTGATACGCATATACCCGCCCAGGTGGCAGCTTGCACCCCGAACTCAAAATATCATGACTTTTACTCCTTTCGAAAGTATCGAAACAGCCGACAGCATGCGACGGGGTCCGAAAGGAGCACGAGTGCAAAGTAGCAGCCATGGTAAACACGTGCAATTTTCTATTGTTTCCACCATTCACATCGTTAATCCGGAGAGTGGCTTAGCCTCCCCCGTGACACCTCCTCGGGGGGTCGTGGATCATGGCCTGTAGAGCATTTTTATGTTCAGCCGCACTGAAACTGACGTTCAGTGGTCAGTCGATACGAATACAAGGTCACACACACACATAATGAAAGCCCTCGAGTTTTTCGTGGGGGCTGGATGGTGTCCCTCGAAGATATTCGTCTCTTGGTAGAGAGGGTGGAGTGGGAAGGACGGCTGTAGGGAGTGGGAGGAGAGGCTCTCGACTCACACAGACACACCATGCATGGATGCGTGGATAACTGACACGCAATCGCGAGCAAAATAGTGATGTCTACTGTAGAGCACGGCGACGCGATACGTGGTACCATTCATGACAGCAGTGGACCGACACACACAGAGCTCCTGAGAACGATTAACATGACAACATGATGATGTGGGCAACGAGTACGATCGTCCTCGGCACGATGGTCGACAATGTGGGAATACCGACTGAAGGAGAAGTATGCGCAGACCCGACGAGGAGTGAGGCGGATTTCCTCAAGGGACAGCTCGGGCAGAGGTACACCTGCCCATACGTGAAGGGGGACTCGGGATCACGAGCAATGTCCTCATTAGGGAACCAGCCTTTGTAGCATGTCAAGCACTGGTGTTCACAAGCATTCGACAGGATACACCATTGAGCATTGTCTGCCCCGACTTGCCCAGCTACCAACAGGATCGGCTCTGATTGACTCTCTCACGAAGCCAGAGGAGATCATCGCCAAAGACAAGCTTGAAAAGGCTGTTGTTCAATCATGGGCTAAACTGGCCACATGTGATGATGTGATTCCCACGTGTAAAGGCGTCTACCTGTTGCAAGCAGGGAAGGCAGCGAAAAACAATTAAGGTGGCAATCCTGACGTGGAACGTCAACCACCGTCTACATGCGGCCGAAACGAACTTGGCCAACACTACCAAGTCTTTGGAGCTCAAGCCGTCCTGTCGAAACCTTATTCAGCTGTGCGTATGGTGGAGACAGACTGGCACAGGATAGCATCCAAGGAAACGTCCGGAAAGAAGACGTTTCGAGGAGGCAAAAGGAAAAGGTATTTTGTCCTGGCTGACAACGCAAGGGCTTTTAGCGAATGAACGAATGCTGCCTGACCTATGCCGGGAGTCAATCGGCCGTGTACTGGGAAGTCACGATCCAACTGATTGCGACACAGGCAGACTATGGGGTGCGGGTGCATCGTCACCATGAAAGGAACGTTTGAGCCGAGCCCATTCGCTCGTCTGCACGAAGACCGGCGCCTCAACCTTCCTCCATAGCAGGATGGTTCGATTAATCCTCAAGACACGACGCGAGTGCCACATGCCAATCGTCGTTAAGATTCTTCCCCATTGACCACAGGCACCGGTAGGGGAAAGGGGCTCTACAAGATGGATTTGGTGATCCCCCCAGGATTACACGCAGGAGATAAAGAAGAGGAACTCTGCATCAAGTCTGTCCTCGTAGATGTCACCATCGTCAACCCATGTGCGAGTCGAAGCATCGACAAGTCGATCCAAACACCAGGATCCGCCCTCGAAGATCTAACTGTAAGTATGGCAAATCACTTTGCGGGAACTTTCAACCCGTCTAGATCTACCGTCCTTACTGCTGCTTTTTCAACGTGTGGTGGTGTTGGCCAAGGCACAAATCGATTAATCATAGTTATCGCTCACCACGTGGCCTACGAACCATTTTGCCGGAGAAATTTACAATGAAATAGCATTGCTTCGCCTAATAATAGTATATAAGGTTTATCACATTAAGAGGATTCGGAGACGGATTAACTTCGAGCTGGCTCGTTTTCTGTCGGTACGAACTCGATAATTTTTGTTTTGTTTTTGAGAGAGCCATGGGTCGGGTGATGGTTTGGAGGGAATCAAAGGATATAATATGCTTTCAAGGGTCATGGACTACTGATCGACCAATTTCCACGACGCCCAAAAAGGTTGGGATTTCAGTACAGCAGTGTAGTGCATACAGAGATGATGATGGTGGCAATGAGGGGAATTAATTTGGCAGCGACGAAGGAGGAGGAAAAGGAACAGGAGGACAAGGGAACGACCAAAACAACAACGGAGGAGGGAAGCATGGAGTGCAAGAGAACAAAAGCTTCGAGCCAGGTGACCTTCCCCACAACAAACGACGCAGGGCTAGAGAAGAATTGCCGAAAAACAGCTGCGCAAATGGCGATGAGAGTGATGGTGATGAAAGCAGGGAGGATGATGGTGAAAGCACTCCAAATCGAACTCGAGTGTAAGGTAGCAGATTTGGTAGACAAGTGTAGTCTTCCTCTGGTACTACCGTTTCTGTCTTTAATCCGGAGAATAATACCTTAGCCTCCCCGCCCCCTCACGGGGTCCCAGTTCAGGCATTTAGAAGGGTTTCGTGTTTTCAATCGCACTTTGAGACTGACGTATTTTCATTGGTCAGCCGGTTAGCGCGGTCGATACTACAGTACAGCAATGATAACACAGACACAGAGAGAGAGAGCGACTATTTACAAACGTGGACGCCTTCGTCTCAGAGACCAATGGATCTGACCGTCTGTAGCGCGGAGCAACCCAGCACTCCGCGGAAGTCCGTTCGAGCGAGGACCGACACCACACGTACATGTATGTACGCATATGCATTCCTCACGAGGGGGAACAGCCCTAAGATTTAATATCTCAAATATCGAGCTCCATGAGGAAAGGTGCCTTCCCGGTGTCCGCTGACCTGTTGGTACAGTGAGTGCGCCATTTCGCTGAGCTGTGGGGCATCGCCTGGTCAATCTTCTAATTGCTCGATGCAGGTGGGCTTTGGTGGGCTTACATATTTTACTTTCCAGTGATACACACTGCTGTAGCAGGATGCAAGTAATGATTGCAACATCACGGCGCCGGCACGGTAAGGCATGATTCCACCAATCGATTGATTGTGCGGGGCGGTGGACAACGGCGACGTTTGTGTTGTATTGAACTCCAAAATATGCATGTCCACCCACCACTGCTGCGGACGTCGTTAGAGGCTGCGCCCGGTGCCTCATGGACAAGCAGCTGTGTCCATACACTCGGGGGCCGATGACCTACATATGATGTACATTCCACTGTACTCTGTACACTCTGCTGTACGTATTCACATATACCTGCTTTATTTACCGTAGTACTGCTGTAGTACATCCACCACGTACAGCAGTTGTAGACGGTGACACATAACAACCTTTTTTGAGCTCTGAAGGGTAAATGGGTTGGTTGTGGGCTGAAAGACGAGGAGACGAGGAGACGTCTGGAACGCGAAGAAGTACTCTTTGCGCTAGCCAACGCATTTTACTCGTCGTGATCAGTTAGAAGTAATGAAATTATCGTTGTTGGTAAGTCTCATATATATGCTATGCATACATATCCATACGCAGAGATTCCCGCGAGTATTTATCACGTTTCACCCAGTAAGAGTTACAATAGGACGTCAGCAGAGTAGAGGAGCTGGAATAGGGCTCATGGCAAGTAAATCGAATAAATGGCCCAAAAACAAATATGAGCCTAGACTACAAATACAAGTAGAACACATACTGAGGACAAACAGGACACTAACCTCTGGCGGTCGGCGGGTGTTGTATTAGTGGTCCGGGGCAATCCGGCAGCCCGTACTTGGGTCAGCACCTGAGAGGGCTGTGGTCCCAATGTTCTGAGAAACTTCTTCCGCACACGCGTGCAAGACGTGCAAGTCTCCCTACTCGATACACGGTCTACCGTGGGTTCCGGGCCCAGTGGCGAGGTCTATTTGTTCTCTATCAACCCCAACCCTCAACCTAAACCTAATCATAAAACACACGGCCAACGGACGGCGTGGTGGCCGAGAACTGGGCGAAAACGTTGCGAAGAAGAGAGAGAGAGGGCGCTGGAGAGTAAAAAAAGACCGGTCCGCATCGATCGTGAAATGGAAGAGTCGCGAAGTTGCAGACGGAGCGGCTGAGTTCCGACGCTCGACGCGCGAAACGGACAGCTTGGTTGGGCTGATCACGCACCCGCTTGTATGCGCGACGCTGGTGATTAACAGCAGGATGAAGATCACCTCGTATTTTCCATATGTTTTATCCACATCGCATCTCTATACGTATTTCTTTCGAGGCTCCCATGGTTAAACAAACTGCATCTATCTAATATTTTTCAAATTTGAAATTTCCAAAAAATCCGAGCCTTCGTCAGATTCCATTTCATATTAAATGGTCTCGTCAACCCCGCATGAACTGCCAGCCTTTCAACTTGAATCGTCCGGTACAGCCGGGGATTTGGGGAGCATCGGCTCAGTGTACTACGTACTATTTTATTTTACGTGCCGTTGAATGATACATGCGTCGAACGTACAGCAGTTTGCCGCTGTTC